AACTTCCAGCACGGATGCTCTCATTGAAACCGTGATACACATCCACTCAATCAACACTTACTCCAAAACTGCATGGTGGCATGAACTTGAAGTCGGTTCCATGTGATCGTTGTTCGGTGGACGGGTATGTTGCTATGTCAACTACCGTTTCACTGTCGAAGCTGTGTACATTACCCTTGTCAATACGTTTTGGGTTCCACTTTTGCTCTTAATGCTTCGAATGCCAAGCATTGCCGGTTTCATTCGTGCAGTCGTTGTTGAGGCCATTGTCGATACGTGGTACTTGCGGTGGTTCATGGATCAAATTTTGCCGTGCCGTTGGAACCTGTGCGCTGGCAATCAAATATGTACTGGCGTGCACTGTGATGATAGCGTACACTACGAGTGAACGGCAGCACACCTGTGGACATCCATTCGTCTCAACTTTCTTCTAGATGAGTGAAATGCGATCTAAGGGTAGCTAATAAGGGACCTTCAATATATTCACTTCGGTTTTTACCTTTTTTGCAACAGGTTAACTCCCGCAACCAAAGCATCCTTCCAAACCAAGTCCTCGCCTACTATGGCGAACAAGCAAACCGAAGTATCCTGGGAAGTGGATATTATTACCACTAGGAGTTTGACGTGAGGATGACCCTGGCAAGGAAGGGTCTCTTAGGGCATGTCATGGTATTTAAGGCTGAGAGTGAAGTAACAGAAGCAGAGCTAATAAACGACGCCAAGGCGCTAGGCATCATCCCTCAAGGGGTTGAGGTCCAGCACCAAACCAAGATTTGATCGGCTACGCGCGCCATATAGGCATGGGTAATGCTCCGCGATTTCTACAACCGCTTGACGCTTCACAATCGTGTGACGATGACGCGTCATCTTCACGACTTCAAACTGGAGAGTGGGACAAGTATGGCGGAACATCTAGATTCTTTCGACGAACTGGTAGTGGGACTCCAGACTACGGAAGTCCGATGGATGAGTCGCGCCAGCTGGTAATACTTCTCAGCAGTCTGCCTTCTGAATACGAACTGAGTTCGTCGATTGTTGAAAATGCGAAGGACATTACGCTGACTGAAGTCAAGGAGAAGCTGCTCAAGGAGTCAGGAAAGATGCAAAGAAAGGAGACTACGGAGAAAGCATTCCGCGTGAATGGGAATCCTGGATAATTTAAAGGTGGACGGAGCAACGGTAGGAAAGGTGGCGCTCCACGCAATCACGGCGGATTTGAGGGCAAGTGTTTTAACTGTGACAAGTTTGGTCACATGAAGCGGAACTGCTTGGCCGGGAAACAAATCGGCGGCGATGATGCGGTATCTGCAGTATGCGAAGGAAGATCATTCAGATGACTGATCGACAGTGGTGCAATATCCCACATGACCCCACACAGAAAGGACTTGTTCGAATACAAGAACCTATAGACAAACGTCGAAGTAACAATTGCAGGCGGCAAGAAGTTGATCGTCAAAGGAGCCGGTACGGTAAGGCTGACCGGTTTGGATGGAAAAGGTATTCGCATGGTGGAAGTCATGTACATCCCAGGACTCGATAGAAGATTGCTAACAGTCGGCAAGCTTGCAGAACGTGGCATGAATCTGGAGTTCTCACGTTCGCCTTATGTCATCTGGAACAAGGATCAAGCTATCGCCTCGGGGACCAGAATCGGAAAAGCAAAATCTAGACTGTGAGCAAGGAGAAGCTTGTCTCGTGGAATATTCCGATGGTGACACTCAGTGGGAGCTTTGGCATGCCCGTATGGGACACCCACGCAAGGACGCGTTACTCCAGACTCAGCGCTCAACCAAAGGCATTCCGAAAATCAAGCTAGGCACGAAAACACTGTGCGTTGGTTGTTTGAAGGGAAAGCAGACCGTCGCGACGTTTTCTTCACATTCAATGACGAAGACGACACGTGTACTAGAGCGCGTGCACGCAGACGTCATGGGGCCTATGAAAAATCCCTTTAAGGGTGGTGCCAAATACATTCTCACGTCTGTAAAAGATTGTTCACGATACATTGCGGTATTCATAATCAACAGTAAGAATGGAGTGACTGGCATGTTCAGGGAATCCAAGACATTTTTCGAAAACACATGGGGAGCTCGTTTGAGTTGTTTGCGCTCCGACAACGGATCAGAGTTTGTCAACAAGACTATGGCTGGCATATGTCAACAGAACGGCATAGTGCATCATCGTTCCGTTCCTTACAGCCCTCAGCAGAACGGAGTGGCAGAGCGGATGAACAGGACAATCATGGAGAAGGCTCGGAGCATGCTAATTTACAAAGGCGTTTCAACTGATTGGTGGGCGAAAGCGGTGATTGGAGTGGTTTTTTAATAACCGCTCCACGAATACGGCTCACCTCGGCATGACACCGTATGAGTTGGCTTTTAAGATAAAGCCCCAAATGGACCACTTGCACGTGTTCGGGTCGCAAGGTTTTGCTCATATAAATCATCCAAAGAGAACAAAGTTGGAGCCAAAGATTTTAAATTGTTTGTTCTTCGGGAACGAAGAAATCTCAAAGTTTATCGTGTGTTTGACTCGGAAATGCCAATGTCAAAGTTACGCGTTCAATGAAGTTGGATGATCGTGAAGTGGGCGGCATTTACGACACTCAAGTGCTAAATCCGGAAGCGGTCGTTCACGTGACGAAGGACAGTGATGAAATACAGATTCAGCATCAAAAAGATGGGCAGCCAGATCTGGACGAACCCATGGAAGATGTTGAAGATCCGGTCGCAGACGTGGAGATGGACGATGTGGATTCTACGTCAAGCGTCAGTGCACAACAGCTGATGCCTCCCGACCGCCATGTTGAAGACACGATGCAACTAGCAAAGGTATCATCCACCGCATCAAATGCAGCAAGAAGATCGTTTAGTGTTCCGACCTGAAGTGGAGAGAGCAAGAGAAAGACATTAGCCGATGATGTTGCTCAGAAATGGCTCAAATAATGCAGAAGAATCAGCAGAATAAAGTGACGGAACACCGACTACGAAGCTTGCTAGGATTGATTAAAACGGACTCATTACAGAAGCTGCATTAGCATACGCGGTAAGTGTGTACAACCCATGCGCTGTAGGAATGAAATCGTTGTCAGCACAGTCACCTAAGACGGAAGAAGGACGTTCGGCGATGCGATCGAAGCCTTATCTCTCCTTGAAAGGATGCCTACTATGCATTACAACATGTACTAGGCCGGATTTTGCGTATGTGGTGACACAACTATCACGTTTCCGGAGAAACCTGGATCGCAACGTTGGAGTGCAGCTATTTACGTTTTAAGATATCTAAAGACGACATACCAAAAAGTCATTGTATACAAAGGCACTGAAAGTGTTGGGGTAAAGGCGTGATCGGATGCTGATTGAGTAAGCAACAGCGATGGGAGACGTTCGGTCTCAGGAGTAATTGTAACCGGGTAGCAAGAAATTATGGTACTTTGTACCAGAGGTGTTACACACCTGAAGTTACCCCTTTGTGAAGGTGATAGAGAATATCCTTTTGGTTTGTAGGGGATGACGAATGTCAGCCATTAGGTACGAAAGATCTTTGAGTAGGATTGAGATATTCTATAAGCTTTAACCAAAATAAAAGCAGTTCCCATTTTGATCAAAAGGACACGTGGCGTGCGAGTCGTCTTGATCGTTGATCACTGATCACCAAGAGTAAGCAACACCTCCTTGAGGTAGCTACTCTTGAGCACTGAATGCTGTCGATTCACTGGATCGTTAGGTTACCTGGAACAGGGATCTGAAGCTGTAAAGCTTGTTGACTCGTAAAATCGTTAGTTCTTTAGAACTAAGTTGCTCGTAGAGCGTTAAGTCTTCCTCTGACTTATGGAGCTGTGTAGCTCCGCTACACTTGGTAGCACTCGTAGTCAATCTACGCCTATGTCTTTTAGACTGATCCTCTGTGAGGATGGAAAACTCTACTCCCTCTGAGGCTTAAAAGGTCGCGCTTAATAAGTTGACCGCATCTTTGGGTCCAGAGTGCGTGGAGTTGTTTGTCTCACAATGACCTGAGGTGCTTAATGCACGTGTTGAAAGCTTCATGCAGTATGAAGCGACCCTTTTAGAGCAGGTCCAAGACCAAATAGCGTCGAATATGCCTACACGCTACGTGTCTGTACCAGACGAAGAGGCTAGGCCTCGTCCACTCAGAGTGGAAGTGAAAAACTAATCCGGTAAGGAGGGTGAGAACCTCATCCTCTGGATCCGTAAGATTGAGATGGCCATGACATCAGGCCTGATCACGATTGACCATCAACAGGTCTCGCTGGCTGTCTCGAAGCTCGATGGAAGAGCTAGAGAATGGGCCTCGACGTGTAGCACGTCGGTGGACATAGCGTTTCCCACATGGGAGTCGCTCAAGTCACAATTGGTACAGGTGTTTTCTCCACCTAACCAGGCTTACCGCATGCGTTCACTCTTTCTTTCTACCCGCCAGGATGCGAATGAATTATCGGACTATGTCCAAGAGCTGCGAACGCTCATGGCTGCAATGCAGTCTGACGCTTTGCCTGAAGCAGTCCATGTGACTATCTTCACGGAAGGTCTAAGTTCTGGCATTGTCAGAACCGAGGTTTTTCGGGTTCACCCCTCTACGTTCGAAAAAGCCGTGGGAATTGCTCTTAGTGCTGAGCATTACGTCAAGTCGGCTAGGCTTGGCTAGAATGGTTACAACCCTAGCCCTGCGAGAGCAAACTCCACAAGTGGTCCGGCCCTTAACAGACCGGAACCCATAGATGTCGTCTATGCTGAAGATGAAGGTGAAGTCGAACTTCAAGCTGCTGAGCAGTAACGCGTTGTACGACGATGTTTTACGTGCGGAAACACTAACCACTTGCGGCCTGGTTTCTCTTTGCGTAAACAGCGTCAGACTAAAGGCCAATACCTTATCCCGAGTCAGAAGTCTGGCATGGCACGGAGAAATGCCGACACCCAGTAGGCGCGGGGCGCCCTACTGGGGAAGAACTATGTTCTGTTACACCTTTAGAAGGTAGAGGAATGCAGGGCTTAGCCCCAAAGAGTACCATACCTAAAGTTATGGTGCGTGTACACAAGTCTGGCTTGTTGGTCGCCGAGGCGAAAATTAAGGGCTTCGAGAAGCCTTGGTCGATATTGATCGATTCTGGAGCGTCTTGCAATTATACTCGATGCCGTTCCCTTGAGGGAAGTCAGCGTTATGCTGAGACGCTTACAGCGCATGAGGGTGATTCTATCACGGTTCGTTTAGCGACTGGAAGTCGCGTAACGGTGCCTAAAGTTCCATTGAACTTAGGTATAAAGTTTTTAGACTTTGACAGTATTGAGCGCTGTCTTGTCCTAGATTTAGACTCGAGATATGATCTCATCCTAGGTATGGCTTGGCTTGAGCGCCATGAGCCATGGATTGATTGGAGGTCTAAGACCTTAGGCGCTACGCGTAATGCTCCTAGCGAAGCTTTGGAAAGTCATGAACCCACCTTTGCTAGGAAACAGAAGCGCTATTGGCGCGAGCGTTTGACAGAAGATGTCAATGTGCTGGATATTGGAATGTTTGAGTTATTTAACTCCAACGTTAAAAACGTAAGTTTCGAGCCTAGCTCGTCTAAAACTAGTGAAACGGCACGTACTCCGTTGAGTGGTACTCGTTGTGATAACGAGTCACTGCATGCTGAAAGCATGGTTGGCCTAGGGCCGAGTGATCAAGGATGTGATTCCTTTGATGTGTGTATGGAGGCACGTGAAACTACACCGAGTGCGGTCGGCCGTGAGAGCACCGCACTGAATGTCGGTAATGACATTTTTGGCCATATGCCATTTAGTGTGGGCGGCCGTGAGGGCACCACGCTTAGCGCCGGTAATGGCGTTGTTGGCGATTCGCCATATGGTGTGGGCGGCCGTGAGGGCACCACACCTAATGTCAGTAATGACACTGTTGGCGATACGCCGTATAGAGTGGACGGCCGTGAGGGCACCACACCTAATGTCGGTCAAGACAAAAGCTCTCGTGTAGAGCGTACTATGGTTGGTAGTAACCATGGGGACAATATTGTCCCGACCCCTAAGGGGTGTAAGGTCTCGAAGAGACAATCGAGACGCCGAGTAGCAGCTGTAAAGCGCCAGGCGTCCTCACAGTGAGATTAGCAATACACTATATACACTTGTTAATGGAGTGACTGGTCAGGTTAATGGCAACGTGAGCCTCGAAACCCTTCCATCTGTGGACGCTCTGTGTGAGCTAGACAAAATGTCTAATTGCGAGTTTAGCCAGGCCTCAAAGGCAGGAGAGTTATCCGAATTAGTGGTCATTAGACCTGATACTGAGTTGAATCTTTCCTCGTTAATGGATGAGTCTATCCTAGAGGATACAAAGGCGGTACTTAGTTCACGAAGTGGATCTTCGATCCTTAAAGATCCTTTGGATCCGTTCTATCCTTTAGTTAAGGAATTTCAAGATGTGGTGTGTCACAACCCACCTTCTGCCTTACCTCCCGATAGAGGTGTACGTCATGAAATTGACTTGGTTCCTGGAACTAAATACTGTGTAACACGGCAGTGGCCTTTGCCTAAATAACAGTGTGACGTCATTGACGAATTCTTTTGTGATAAGCACGCGGCTGGAATGGTTCGTGAGAGCAAGTCTTCCCATTCAAAACCGACATTTTGTGTCAAAAAGCCAAATGGCAAGTGGCGTATTGTGCATGCTTACAATAAGCTTAATGCAGCCACTGTTCCGGCGCAGACGCCTATTCCTAGAAAGGATGTTCTTCAGAACAATATGGCGGGATGTACATTGTACAGTGCACTCGACTTAGTCGATGGTTATTACCAACTGCTTATGCGAGCAAGTGATATTCCACTAACAGCGGTGAGTACTCCGAGCGGTATGCTCTGGGAGTGGCTCGTTATGCCACAAGGGCTATTAAATGCCCCGGCTACGTTTCTCCGGCTGGTAACGCAACTATTCAGACCTCATCGAGGCTATGCACAAACGTACTTTGATGACATTTTTGTCCTTAGTAGTGCAATGAATGGGCGATCAGATGTGGATAACCACATCGATCATTTACGAGCGGTGCTCGAGTGTATGCGAACGAATAAGTTGTATGCGAACGCATCGAAGTGCATATTTGGTGCAGAAGAGATTCCCTTTCTAGGGAGCTTCACTAGAAAGCGAGGCCTTCGAGCGGATCCCGCTAAGGTAAATGACATAGTCAATTGACCGTTTCCTATGAACCAAAAGGACTTACGTAAGTGGCTTGGCCTTGCCAATTACTTACATAAGTACAGTGCAAATTACGCAGATATGGCTCGGCCATTGTCCAATCTCCTTAAAAAGGATGTGGATTGGTGTTGGGGTAACACCGACCATAATGCTTTTGAAGCAGTTAAGGAGAGTCTCCTTTATGCGCCAATATTGGCTTTGCCCGATCCTGATCGACCTTTCAGTGTCGTCTGTGACGCATCTGACTTCGCCAGAGGCAGTGCTCTGTTACAAACAGATGTCGATGGACGCGAATGCGTCATCGCATTTGAGTCTCGGCAGCTGAAAACTGCTGAAAAGAACTATCCTGTTCATGACAAAGAGCTACTTGCTATGAAGTACGCTCTTGTAAAATTCAGAGTACATCTGCTTGACTCAAAGCTGTTTGTGATCGATACAGATCATGCGTCATTATGCAATGCAACACAGGCCCCTCATCTCTCGCAGAGATTGGCTCGTTGGCTTTCCTTCTTTGCCGAATATGACTTCGAGGTGAAGTACAAGCCAGGTAAGCAAAAGGATTTGGCTGATGCGCTACCGCGTCGAACTGACTATGAGCTTGCTCATGTTACGACTCTTTTGTCGTCAGTCACTGACTTAATTTGTGCGGCATATGCCAAGGACGATCAGTGTGTAGCTTTGCTACGTGATCTTGGGAGCGATGAGTTTAGAGACTCGGACATCGAGTTGTCGGCACGTTTTTGTGCGAGGCTATATCGATATTCCATTGATAATGGCCTGTTGTGCTATCGCACGGATATTGAAGATAAGCCTCGTATCGCTGTACCTCATTATGAGGAATCAAAGTATCGAATCCTCTATGAGGCACATGATACTGCTTTAAGTGGTCATCTCGGTCGTGAGAAGACTTATAGCTCGGTGAGCCAAAGTTATTGGTGGCCCAAACTTTAGAAGTGGGTGCGCACCTATGTGCGTACGTGCAAAACGTGCTAACGGGTAAAACCCTCGGCACATTCGGCGGCACCGCTGGCTAGTTTTCCAGTACCCACTGGTTGTTGGGAGTCCATGAGCATGTATTTTGTGTTTGGCCTACCGAAAGAATCGGAAGGCGACACTGGTATTGTGGTCTATGTTGACCGATTGAGCAAGATGGCTCACTTAGCGGCTGTGCCGGATAGCATTGATGCTGAAGGCACAGCAAAGCTGTTTATCGACCGTGTGTTTCACCAACATGGCTTGCCGGTGGCAATTATCTCTGATAGAGACCCCAGCTTCACTAAAAAGGTTTGGAAGTCTATCTTCAAGGTTCTTGGCACTCGGTTGGACATGTCCACAGCGGATCATCCGCAGACCGACGGTCAAACTGAGCGTGTTAACCGCGTAATCAATGACATTTTGCGCAGTGTTTGCGCTGGTACGCCTAGGCGTTGGAGCTCAATGCTTCCTGTTATTGAGTTTGCGTTGAATAACGCTGTTCATGCCTCAACAGGCTTTACTCCGTCCTATATAAACGGTCTCACTCACCCTCGCGTTCCGTTAACGCTATCACTACGTGATTCAGGGCTTGGTGGGGGAGAGGTTGCCGATCGGCTCGCTGATATCATCCCTGCTACTGTTCATAAACAGGTAGGCGAGTTTCTCGCAACGCGATTAAACGTCTTAAGACATGTGCGTGACGCAATGGCTGATAGCCAAGATACCCAAAAACAACAAGCTGATGCCAAAGGCAGAAATTGCATTGATCTTTACGAGGTCGGAGACCAAGTACTACTCAATGCTAAAAATCTACCTACAAATGTAGTGTCTGCTGTCTTTAAGACAAAGTTGCGTCCACGCTTTATTGGACCGTTTACGGTCACGGCCAAGAAGGGACTTGCGTATACGCTAAACCTCCCGCGCAAATTGCGCACACATCCAGTGTTCTACGTAGGCTTACTTAAGCCGTACCGGGATCCTTCCCATGTGAACTTGGAGGCGCTTGCGCCGACGACAAGGGCACTGCCCCGGATTGCTGTAGACGAATCAGCAAGTCCAACTGACCCTCGCTCCGAGTTTGAGCTTGCTCCATCGCCTGAAGGCGGCTTTGCATCGCATCCGGCATGCACTGGGACTTACCCAAGGCCTCTTGAAGACCCCTCACTTCGAGAACCAATTTTTCGTGGGCCTCCACCGGTACACCGGCCGCCACCGACTTTGCTCGACGAGCATGGGTGTCGTCAATTTCATGTCGAGATACTACTAAAACGACGTCGTCGTCATGGCCAATATCAGTATCTGGTAAAGTGGCGTGGATACCCTGAGTCTGAAAACTCATGGGAATTTGAGGAACCCCTTCGTCAAGACTGCCCATATGCATTGGATGCTTTTGAGCATCGTAGCCATGGTCATCTCGAGACCGAGGCCGTTACCCACCACTAGTGGTGCGGGTTGGCGGGTTGTTGGTCACAGACTGACCAGCACTCGCGGCGACCTTAGTAGCCGAAGCATAGCGCGTGCGCTTGCGCAATTGGTCTCTGGCCTTAAGCTCGGCATAATCATACCGAAGCTTGCGTTCGAGACGCACATCCGCCGCATGGGCACTAGCCCTTAGAGCAAAAATGTTGCTGAGGCGACGCACATAGTGCACCCAATGAACGAAGGCATCGTCTTCTTCGCTCACTGTTTCACCTGAGAGCAAGAGAATGGGTATACCCTTGATCGGTGGAACCGGTGCACCACGTGCTTGCATGTCAGGCGTGCCTTGTATTGACCTTGGGTCGTTAGGTGCGGCTCCAGGTATCTCTCACGAAGTGCCTGGCAGCTCACCACCTCCTCAGGAGTCTTAGGCCCATGGCCAATGACCCACGTTGCCAATGTTTGGCCGGCCGCTTGACGTAGACGTTCCTCCACACTGGGTGGGGTGAACACATAGTCAAGCTGGCGTTCAAGGGTTGCAGCCATTTGTACATAACGCTGAGCGTTTTCTTCTCTTTGGACAAGCAATTGTTGTTGCTCATCGAGCGGGTTCGCGATGATAGTCTCATCAGAACCAGATGCTGCATGCTGCGCTGGCGGCGCGCTCGCACCTCCACGTTCAGCGAACGGATTTGGGGTGTTCGAAAGTTGTGCCTCAGGCATCAGTGAGCCGGACGTTGTCCCTGTGTCACCGCGGACACTGGTATCGCTATCATAGTCCACCTCTTCCTCAATTCCGAGGTAGTCCCACAGAGTCTTTGACTCGTTGGGTGATGAGGACATCGTGCTAGAGCGTACGTTGCCGTGAGGTTTACCGTACACACACTGTTCTCGCTGAGAACACAAGCTCGACTGACGTTTTGGGAAACGTCAGTCTGGTGGGGGAGGGTGTAACGGGGTTCCACGAAATTATGGTACTTTGTACCAGAGGTGTTACACACCTGAAGTTACCCCTTTGTGAAGGTGATAGAGAATATCCTTTTGGTTTGTAGGGGCTGACGAGTGTCAGCCATTAAGTACGAAAGGTCTTTGAGTAGGATTGAGATATTCTATAAGCTTTAACCAAAATAAAAGCAGTTCCCATTTTGATCAAAAGGACACGTGGCGTGCGAGTCGTCTTGATCGTTGATCACTGATCACCAAGAGTAAGCAACACCTCCTTGAGGTAGCTACTCTTGAGCACTGAATGCTGTCGATTCACTGGATCGTTAGGTTACCTGGAACAGGGATCTGAAGCTGTAAAGCTTGTTGACTCGTAAAATCGCATGTTCTTTGGAACTAAGCTGCTCGTAGAGCGTTAAGTCTTCCTCTGACTTAAGGAGCTGTGTAACTCCGCTACAGTTATGGCCATGATTGCAAGCGCACCAGTGGTGTTCAAGTCGAAGTAGCAGCGAGCGGTTGCGCTTAGCTGGACGGGAGCTGAATGTATGACGCTCATTTTTTGCACCTAAGAAGTTCTTTGGACGCGTGCGATGCTAAAGGACATGGGTCACGAACAAGTGAGAGGTGGGAAGATAATCAACGAGCGATTGCTTTGGCCAACAAACCCGTATACCACGCTTGGACAAAGCGTGTGGACGTTAGACATCACTTTGTTCCTTGAATATGTGCAAGACGTAATATTAAAGATCGACTACATTGACACGAAAAATCAACTCGCGGATACGCTTAACAGGCACTCGGAACCAAGATAATAAAATTTATGTGCGAGGCAACCGGGATTAAGACAAGCCAGATTCCAAGACCGGCACACAGTAGAGGCGAATGGGAGTGTTGAGTTTACGCCGCTTAATGCAGTCGTTTCATGTTGGGTTCAAGGTAATGATTTGTGTGTCAGGGTGTTTCATGGTGTTGGTTATAGATAAATGTTATGGATCGCGGTTACATAATGAGATCAGAGGAGTTCGTTACATAAAGGCTTAGACTTAGCTGAGGGTAGTGAATTAAGGACCTTCAATATATTCACTTCGGTTTAACCTTCTTTGCAACAATCATGTGCTTTCTTTTCAGGTTACATTGAGGAACATGATATTGTTACCACATGGATAACACATGACGATCAGAACCGATGCAAGTCCACGATATTCCGCTGTTGCAGCAACTTCTTCAATCTCGAAGCGCATCAAAGGCGCTTCATGTAACGGGGCACCCTGAAGCTTGTACTGGTGACAGTACAAGCTACTTATTCTGATGACAGAATAAGGCGGTGCCTCGTAACTTCACGTACACTCGTACGTGCAGAGGAAGACGGTAAGAAGAAGCGAGTACTCGGTTAGAGTAAAAAGTAGAACTGTATTTATAATAGTTAATGTCTGCAATAAATCACTATTTATCTTCATCTAACTATGTCTAAATACAAATGTGTAAATCAGTTATCTGCTCACCACTCATTGCGTGCGTCTGTCGTGGCGCGTCTTCGTTGGTTGATATAATGGCCTATATCAACCAATTAGGAACTACTTGGAAGTGCTACAGAATATTGTCCTTATGACAATATTCTGAGAATATAACTCTTATAGTTATATTCTATTAACAATTTCTTATAAATTGTTATGTAACGATTCACCCCGTTACATCACCCCCCTTAACCATCAGTCACTTTAGTGACTGATTGACTAAATGGATACTCGTCCCAAATCATTTGGGACGGGGTTTGCACTTGTTGGTCCGCGTCCACTTTCCAACATCTCATCGCATGGTAAACAAGCCCATGCGATGCGCGAGCAAGGCCGCCGAGAGCGCGTCTGCACGTCTCTGTGCGGACGCCGAAGCAGAAACTACAGCAACTGATATCCCATCGGTTGCTGAATCGACTCAGCCTGTATCACCTGGTGATGCAGGTGCTGGTCATGAAGACACTCGTGTCTTCACAGAGTACGAGCTCGGTGTCTCGTACTCTCCTGATACGGATGACGGATCCGTATCGACGGCAATTGAATCCAAGCCGCCTGCCAAGCGTGGCATGGACGATGCTTTGCGTCGCAGCATCTTTGGTTCATCTGATGAGTCAGATGAACCATCGCCGAAGCGAAGGCGCTCGAGGTCGCGAGACTCGGGCGCTAATAGTGGTGTCGTTTCTCCAATGGACACCACTTCACAGCGAGGTGCCAGTACTTCTGTCGGCACGTCGCAGGAAGAGCGGGACCGCAATGTGTTGCGTCTCGCTCCAGAAAAGAAGGCATGGATGCCTCCTAAATCTGTCATGGATCACTTGTCGGCGACGACGAGTGATCGTTATCGAACACGATTGTTCGATTCGTCAAGGATTCATCACCTTGACCCCAGCGCGAAAGACTATCGCGCTGAACATGAGTTCTTCATCGATGCTTTCTTCAGACATCGATGGTACAGTGGGAATCACAAACGTGATGGTCCCTCACTACTTCAGGCGTGGAACGCCTACATCCATAATCTCGAGGATGTAGGTCGTGACGCTTGGAACGACAAACTTATCAAAGCTCGTGATAAGTTTGAAAAGCGAACCCCGACAGGTGCACGCTACAAGCTGCATCGTCTGTCAAGGGAGAAAGGATTACCCTGCCTCTCTTGGGGAGACTCGTGCCCATGTTGTGTGAACAACTCTGCACGAGCACCTAAGGAGGCTTACCTCCTTACCAGCCCGTGGTGGCGCGTACGTGTCTCTACTGAGATGTACGAAGGGATTGACAACCTGAAATCCCTTTACGACCGTGCCGGGAAGACTTTCTCCGGCGGTCCTTCTGCGGCACAGGATGTGTCGCGTCGTACTGCTCGACCAGACCCAGTACGTCAACCATCAATTGGGAGCGGGGCTCCCAAGAATCCCAGGACGGGGGATAGCCGCGCCACCGGACGAGGTAACTCGTCCGACGTCCGTTCACGTCGCGGTGGTTCAACAGCTGCTCTACTAGATAGCGCTGGCCACCGCGAGAGTCCTCTAATGGAGGTGGAGGAGGAGGAAAGACGCTCTCCACACGATCATGTGGATCGGTGTGTTCCCGAGAGCTTCTTTGATCGCGTAACGCAAGGGTTACGCGACGATCTCGAGCATGAGCGGAATAGGCGTCTCCAGATGGTGGACACTGCCTCGAAGCATCGAGCTGAGTTTGCCTTTGCTCAGCTTGAGAACGAGAGATCTCTGACATCTCTTCGTGACGAGCTAAGGGTAGCTCGTGGGATTGTTGATCGGTCTCGGGCTGAGATAACTGCTCTTCAGACCCTTGTTGATGCCCACCATCGGGAGCACAAGGCTCTCTGCGAGATGCTTGAGCGCAAGGGCGTTCTTCATCGGAAGAAGCAGCGTACTGATGGTACGGCTTAAGCCGACCAACGTAAAACGTGGGATGCGTTCGCATCTTACGTGGTAACTCGATCGTGTATGCATTGCCTAGGCGGTGCAATACACGAAATGGGCCAATGTACTTGGGTAGTAGTTTACTGCTACCCAAGTTAGTCACTACATGTTTTGGTAGATTAACCGTAGACAGTAGGACTAAGTCACCTTTATTAAATAAAAGAGTGTTTGCCCTTCCATTCTTGTCAGCGTTTTGCTTTTGCTTATCCACCGCTTCGGCGATGGAGTCTTGCACAAAACGGACTACCGTTTCACGAGCCAGTATGAACTCATCTGATGACTCGTTAGCTTCAGTGTGCTGTGAGCGCACTGCAGCGACAACAACCTTTTCTTCAGTGAGGGCTTCCGCACTCTCACTGGGATCATTGTCTTCAGTGAGGGCTTCCGCACTCTCACTGGCATCATCTTCTTCGATATCGATGTTATCGATATCGGCATCAAACGCAATGACTTCTTCGTCAGAGCGTGATGAGCGTGAACCAAATCGGTTTTTGCTCGCGTGAGTCCCTCCCCCCCTTAAACCAGAGTTACACTCTAGTAAGGTGGGTACACGCGGATGGCGCAAGCCATTCACGTAAAACGGTGTATGTGTCGTCGACGCATGCACCGAGTTGTTGATGGCAAACTCTACCATCGGCAAAAACTCACTCCAACTCTTAAAGGAGTGTACGCATCCTCGAAGTATCTCTTCAAGGACACGATTGGCACGTTCCGTCTGACCATCTGACTCTGGATGATCAGATGTTGACATCTTCAAGCGCGTTCCGAGTGATTTGAACACGGAACGCCAGAAATCAGCAGTGAATCGTGGATCTCTGTCTGATACGAGTTCACGGGGCAACCCATGAAGTCGGAAGATGGTGTCAATAAAGACACAAGCACAGCCACTTGCCGTGATTGTCTCTGGTACAGCCACAAGGTGTACCATTTTGCTGAGTCTGTCAACAAATACGAGAATACCCGTATTCCCGCGTGCGTCTTTGGGTAACCCGAAGACGAAATCCATTGAGATGGATTCCCAGCACTCAGCCGGAACCGGTAGAGGCTGTAAAGGTGCACGCAGTGAAGGACTTGACTTCACTCGTTGGCAGACTTCGCATGCGCGAACATACTTTCGCACAAACTGATACTGGCGGGGCCAGTAAAAGTCTCGACTTACCGTGAGATATGTTTTCTCTCGGCCACGATGTCCTCCTATAGGAGCATCGTGATACTCGAACATGATCCGCAAACGCAGATCAATATCATCTGGAATGACAACACGTGGTGTGTCACCAGAAACGGCTGTATAGTACAGTAAACCGTTACGAGTAGTGTATCGATCTGATGCAGATCGATACGCAGACGACAATCGTTTCAACGATTCTCGAGATGGTTGGGAGAGATGTGACAACAACTTCACTATCTCACCATCTTGGGCGTATGCCCGCCTCACATCATCATACAACGT